CGCGGGGGCCGCCGCCCCCCACACACACCCCGACGCCCCAGCGCCGGGCCTGGAAATTAGTCTCAACGGTGGGGAGATTTAACTGTCCCCGGGAAGCTGCGGCCAGGTCCGGAAGCCCTGGCCAAGTCCACGCCCAGGGCCGGTTTGGGAACCCCAGGTGAGCTCCCCACAGGGGACCACGGGGTCCCCGGCAGGGACGGGGTGACTCCTCCAGTCGGGGCCCGAGACAGGCTGGGCTGGAGGGGCCCTAGGTCGGGGCTCCCCCTTCCTCAAGAACAAGCTGGGTCCCCCCGGCTCCCTCTTCTCCGGGTGGCTCCCGCGTCTCAGGGCCAAGGGCTGATGCGCCAATGGCCGTCCATCTCGCGCCGGAATAGTACACAGCCACGAAAAGGCTGGCAGTCCCACCACCTGAGAGAACCGTGGAAACGTCGCATCAGCGGGAGACTGTGCACACGCGTGAGACCCCGTTGCAGGACGCCTGCCGGACAGGCCCATTCGCAGACCGAGGACTGCGGTGGGGCTCGGTGGTGCCACGCTGTGGAAGACAGTGAGGCCGGTGGCCGCGGGCAGAACTTTGGGACGATGACTCGGAAGGTGGCTTCAGAAACAACCGCTGAAACGCGGAATTCACGGGCATGCAGCACACGCAGCGTGGTGTGCAGTCGCCCCCGTGGCGATCTCCAGAGCATCCTCATCGCCCCAGAGGAGGGCCGATGCCATGGACGACGCCTCTCCGTCCCCTCTCGCAGGCCCTGGCGCCCCCCGCCGGCTTCCTGCGGGAAACAACCCCAGTGTTCCTCAACGGACAGCGGGTAAACAGTGGCGCGGCCACGGGCCGGAATATCACGCAGCCGTGAAAAAGGAGAGAGCGCTGATACTCGGCACGGGGCCTGTCCGCCTTGAAAACAAAGTGTCCTTGAGAGAATCGGCCACAGAAGGACACTAGCTGTGGGGCCCGTTTCTGGGAAATGTCCGGGAAATGGAGGCCCACAGAGGCGGGAGGCGACAAACGCTTCCTGCAACCGGGGAGCTAAGACGGAGCGTGGACGTGGTCTCTGGGCCTCTTTCAAGGAGGAGGGAATGTTCCAGAACTAGACAGGCGTGGCGGAGGTCAAACGCCCCAGGAGCGCAAATGCGGGTGTGACTGCAGGAGGCGAACCCCGGGGGTGTGGCCTCAGGAGCACAAATGGGGGTGTGGCCGCAGGAAGCGAACCCCGGGGTTATGGCTCAGCGGTGAAAACCGAGGTGCGGCGCTAGGAGGCGAACCCGGGGGTGAAGCCGCAGAAGCATAAACGAGAAGCGAATCTCGGGGTCGCAAGTGGGGCGTGGCCGCGGGAGGCAAACCCGGGGGCGTGACCCGAGGAGCGCAAAACGGGGTGTGGCCGCAGGAATGGGAACACCCCCAGCCGCTCCGCTCTCCCAGCTCAGCACCCCCCACTGGCCCGGCACCCGCATACTCTCCCTCCCAACGCACCCGACTCCCTCCCGCTCGGCTCAGGCGCCAGGCCGTGGGGCTCACCCTGGAGGGCGTTTAGGGGGGCTCCGCCCCGCCCCCACTCGCCAGGACCACACAGAGGGGCTCCGGGCTCCCCTGCTCCCCCGCGGTCCCGGCGGATGCCCAGCGCTCGGGACGGGGAACACCTGGCCCGGCCCTGACTGTGCGCGGACTGAACAAGGCTCCCCAGACGCGCAGGGCACCCCAAAGCCCAGCCAGGCCTTCGGGGCTGGGGTCCGCGTGGGGAGCGGCCGGACCCCCGGCGCCTGGCCCCCCTCC